GCTGGCAGGGCAGGCGCTGGGGACAGAGTGGCAGGGTCCACACTGTCTTTCCTGAGCTCAGGCTAACATCTTCCCAGAGGAAACTTGTTTGTCAGAGTGAGCAACTCCCTCCCACTTCCCTTCTCTCCTAGGATGCCAAGGGGGAGGACAACAGCGGCTGTTAAAATGGCACCTCTGTCTTCAGTGGTCTGGCTGCTCTTCCCATATCCCCGGCCTTATCAGCCCGTCTTATCCATAACAAGTCTCTGGCTCCCACAGACCACGATCAACACAGCCATTGAGAACACGCTGGAAGGAGCCCAGCTCCTGAGCTCCGGCACGGCAGGCTGCAGGGGGACCGCCAGGATCTCGATTTCCAGTGTCTGTAACCTCATGAAGTGTTGGGGTGTAGGGGGTGGGGAGCTTTATTTTCAGAATCTAGATTTTGTTTACGGCCTGGATGGTAGCTCGAGACACCGGCGGGAACTGGGAGGAGGGGAGTTATGGGGGGAAAAAAAAGAGGAACAAATGTAATCTGAACAATAAAGATTTAATTAAAAATTAAAAAAAAAAGACTACGGAGCTAAGTTTGTGAAAATAGACAAATACTCCCCTTGAACACTAAGCTTTAAGACCCCCTGTGCTCCGAGCACCTCTGTTCCCGTCAGCTCCTAGACTGAGTCTCAAGCCCCCCGGCCCCTACAGGAGCAGCGACAGCTGGTGAATTACTGGCAGCACCTGTCCACGCCGTGTTATTAACGCCGTTATTACGCCTTTCAGCACCACTGCCATCAGCACCTTCGGAAGGGTGAGCCCAGGGACAGGGCACCCTTCCAGGCGGTTTCTCTCCCTGATAACTACTATCCTAAGGCACTTCATGGCCAAGGAGAGTCAGTATTACACATATGGCATCTGAAATTATTCTAACGTTCAGACCACCAGTGCCATACCTGTGCTCCATAGCGGTGGAGAATTAAGATTTGATTTCATTCAGAAAACTCTTAACAAGCCTCTACTTTTTGACTGAGACAGTTGGAAGCCTAGCTGCAAGGCCTAAAATTTTAATTTAAGATCAAAATGACAAATTAAAATGCCCCCTCCTTTGAAGAATTATACATAGTCCATTCTTCCCAAGCTTTGGCGGCCATCCCACGGAAGCCAAGGATGACCTCGTGGGGACACCTGCTGGGAACTAAAAGGCCACATATGCACTGACCTGTAAGAATGAGACCCCCTAGTCTGTGGACTGGAGTGCCCTGAAATGCACAGCAACAAATTTCATAGTCATAATAAAGTGCCCAAGCTGTTGCTTGAATTCTGGTTACCTGTCTTATCTGGAAGCAACTGAATCCTCTCAGTTGGGAAGTTCAAGGGATAGAAGATACGAATTATCAACAAGGTCAAATAAGTATATCTAAATGCACCAGAGCCACATTTTCCCCAGGACCTTAAAGACACATGCTTGGAAAGAGATGGAAAGAGAACTGACTGTCAGAAATGCTAACAGGTAGCTTTTGAAGAACTCATTCCAAAGGAGAGACAGGGTCTTGAGAAGTTGCTGGTTCATAGATGGTTGGCAGAGTTGGGTGGTGGCAACATAAACATCAAGGATGAAAGAGGCCTAAAACTCATCTAATTCAATTTTACATGAATTGTTAAGAGTGGCAGAAAATGTTTCCAAACTACCATTGCCAAAAGAAAGAGCAATTGTAAGGCACACTGTTGGCAGCCAGCTGGTTGACCTGGCAGAAAACCTCACACTCACCAGCTGACTTGAAATCCCATTAACTACCCCCTCCCCAAAGATATCTTGGAAATAAGCTAGATCAGTATCTAGAATCACCACATGGGACCCCCCGCCCCCCGCCCCCAAGGCCATTTGTTCACAGCCCTCATAATGGATTGGCCAGGTGTGTCACAGTCCCCAGAAGACAAAATAGTGAACCCCAAGAGAAAGAGATTATATAAGAGGGGAAGGCAGCAAGTAGAAAGAGATACCAAATGAAGCCAAAGAGTGCAAGGCACATGAGACCAGCAGGCTGGTAGACACGGAGGCTAGAAAGGAATTGCCAGATTTCCCAGAATCCCCAGTGGGCTGCACAGCCTGGCTCAGACCTCCCCACAGGCTTTGTAAAAACGAGAAATGACACTGTCCAGATGATATTCGAGCCCACTGCCGACGTGCCACACAGCGAACACCATCTCTCATTTGGAGCAGACAGCTTACAGAACAGCCAGGGCAAGTGAAAACCTTCCAGGATGACTCTGATCCAAACCCACTGTTGGGTGCGTGTGTTTGGAAAGGTCCGGCTTAAAGGCCGAGTACAGATGTGAGAGCAGATTTTGGTGGGCAGTAGGGAGGAGGCGGATGGAGCTGCTGGCTTTTCCCTTGTTGTGGACTGGTCCTGCCATCTCAGGCATCTGCAGCTCAGTCTCAAAAACAGCCACATATTTCCCTGCCATGTTTCACCCTGAGGACAGGCAATTCAGTGAATTCTGTTAACTTCTTTACCCAGATGCAGGACGTTCTCTAGCGGGCTTCTCCTGGCGGCATTGTTGCAGTGGAGAAATGTTAATTCCCTGGGAGCACTCTGTGGAAGAAGGGGGGCAGCAGAGGCAAAGTAATCTCTTCCTTCAACCTCCTGAAAGATTGATTTACAAGGGGAAAGGCCTGCCTGGAGTCACACCAGAGGCCACAGCTTTTCGTCTCTGCAGCATCTGCCTGGGTCACGAAGGCCCAGCAACATCTGGCCCCACTGTGGCCTGGAAAGGAAGCAAAACTGGTTGGCCCATTTCTCAGGGTAGCAGGCCATCTTCCTGGAATTCCCTTCTCCAAGAGCAACCTCCTCTTCTGCATGTCCACTCCCTGCACAGCACGGATAAATAAGGAAGAGTGAGCCAAGTATGGCCTCACATGAGCAATTTCTCACACCGACTTGAGAGGGTCTTTGAAGATAGTGAGATGCAAGGAGGATCCTTCGTAGGAATACTTTCTTGGTGGGGGGTGTCTGGCCTTCTACACAGCTGAGGCCAGAGGTATCTGTAATGAGCTCTTTGCCTTAGTACTGCTGGAAGGAGCAAAGCAAATTAGAAAGTCCTGGGCTGAGAGGTGGGGGGAGGGGTAGGAAGACCAAGAAGAAAACCAGATATACTTGTATCTTATTGTGAAATAGATAAGCTTTAATATTCATATTTAATTTAAAGTCATCAAATTGAAAAAACAAAGTTGAAAGAAACTTTGGAAAAAAAATTGGGTGACACTGCTAAAACCAAAATCTAAGACAACATGTTTTCTCAATTTAAAAAAATTCCAGTGTGTACTGGGGCGCGGAGCGGGTGTTGAATAAATCAAGTGAAATTTTAATTTTAAAAGCAATCAACATTTCAAGAGCTGCCTTCATGTCTGAGGTCCCAGTACCAAAGTGACCACGTTCATTAATGAACAGAAGCCGCCCAGCATCGTGCCCAGAGCAAAAGCGAGATTTTCCTTCCATGCGGCAGGCTGCCCCTTTCTTCTTCTTTCTTCTTCTTCTTTTATAAACCTCAACCCTGACTGTTTCTAGTGGTAAACACAGGAACACCCATGCTGTGCAACGCTTCCAAGGAACACCAGGATGACAAGAGGCAAAATGTCACATCACACTGGGTGGTGGATCCTCAAGTTCCACATCCAAGTCGCTGGTCAGAGAAATGGCTGATGAAGTCAGAACTGCAGACACTTTCTTCCTACGGGCACTTGGGGAAGCTGCATGAACTCTTTCTGGCCACCGGAGATGGCATTTTTAAACAGTCACCTGGAGCAATGAAAGCACCTTCCAGAAGTATTTTACGTGCTTTCTGAGGGTCCTAACCTAGGCCCTGACAACCTGCTTCCTACAACTGGATACAACTCATCTTCAAGTGCTATTATGAACCAGATCAAATGCTCCTCATTTAATCCCAGCCAATCTGCCGAGTAGTAGCCAACCTTGCTGCACAGGTGAGTAACTGAAGCGGAAATGGATGAAGCTTCTCCAAGGTCACAGAGCAGTAACAAGGGAAGCAGGTTCTCGGACTGGAAAGCCCACAGCACATCTTTCACTTCCTGCTGGATTCTCGCACGATTTAAACGGCCGAAGAAAACCCAGAACGTGCAGCTCGGGCTTTAGAGTGAGATGCATCTGCGCTCGAACTGAACAGCCACTTGCTCTGTGAGGCACCACACCTGCGCCCCCTCCTTCAGGTCCCGATGAGTGGACTTCCGTGCCACTTCCTAACAAAGCACCGCACGGGAGGGACCGTCTCTGAAGAACCGGGGAATGGACACGCAAGCAGAGGGAGCTGCTTCCTCTCTCTCTCTCTCTCTCCCTCTCTCTCTCTCTGAACCTCCCTGGTCAGGGCAGGATGGGGTTGGCCCTATTACTTAGCTCCCGGGGTGAGCACATGGCTCCAGCCTGGCTTTCTGGGGCGCCACCATGAAAGAGATGATCTTGGAACTACTGGTTGCCTTTCTTACCACCACGGAGAGAGAGTCTCTCTGAGAATGCTGCCAACAAAGTAGAGAAAGAGAGATTCTTCTGAGCCCCTGGAGGCAGCCATGCCTGAGGCTAGAAGCCCTGAACTTCCGGGTTAAATGAACCAATCAAACCTGGCACATGGGGCAGCCAAGGGCACTGACAAATACAAGTCCATCTGATACAAATGTCTGAAGCTTGTTTCCATCCCGCAACCTCCCAGGCATAATGTGCCTGGGAGAAAACCTGGGATCTTTATGTGAGTAAAAAAGGAGCTGGAGAAATCTTACCCAACAGAAGGATGCTTTTCCAGAAAAACAGACACTCAGGATGCCTGCAGGCTGCAGACTCCATCTTTGGGTAATAAGCCTTCCCTCCGTGGCCCTAGATCATTGGTGACAATGACGAGGCACCTGCAGGCCTTTGTATTTGCCGTGCAGAAGCCGTGCAGATATGAAACCATCCGCACGTCCTTGCTCTCACTGAGGCCTGAGAGCCGACAAAGAAAAAGACTTCACGCACACCTACCTGAAGCGCTGGAGACCCGGGACACGTCCTGGGCCTGGGTGGAGCGGTTGCGACTCTGCTGGCGACGCCGACCGCTGGCTGACCGCGTGGTGCGCACGTGGACCTCACTCACTTTGAAGAAGGCCACCATGAAAGGCTGCTTGTCATACGGGCCGTCTCTGCCCACCAGGCCTGCAGCTCGGGGGTTGATGCTGAGTCCTTGAATGCAAACCAAAGCATGCCCCTCTTTATTCCATGTAAACTTACTCCTGCAGCTGCATAGCGGATCCTTTCCGGCCTCCCAGGGACTAAGCATAAAGAATGCGGCTGAGGGGAAAGCATGTGTATTCTCGGATCTCTGGTGGCACCCTCTGGATGGACAAAATCAACACCCTCCTTCTAGCCATAGCTGGTGTGGCTAAGTGGTTAGAGCATCAGCCCTCACACCAAAGAGTTGAGGGTTTAATTCCCGGTCAAGGGCACAAACCTGGGTTACAGCTTCGATCCCTAGCCCAGGTCAGGGTGCTTGCAGAAGGCAACAGATCGACTTGTCTCTCTCACATCTCTCTCATTTCTGCGAGTCCTTTTCCTTCATATTCATTCTTTCTTTCTGATCATATTCATCCCAACCAGTGAGGTGACTTCAACACACAGAGCATGCCCACTCTGAGGGCCGTAAGGGGCCCTGGATCTGCTGAACTTGGGTGCTGCAGGAGAAGGGGTGCTGGGAGGGGTAGACAGGGTCAGGATTTAGCCTATGCTCCCATCTTTCTTTTTCTCAACATCATCCACCTGCCTTGCCTCTGAGTGCTCGCCTCCCATTGTTTCTCTCGGGACCTGGACCACCTACCCGTCTCCGAGTCCTTCCAGGGGAAGGTTTTGCTTTTCAGTAGCAGTTACGAGGAAACAGTAAAGGAAGTCATCGTGAGCTGAGGACTCAGCTGTAAACCACGGTTCTCTCATAACCGTTGAAGAGGAAATGAATGACAGCGACTCTTGGCCTGATTTTGGCAAACTTACCATCCCGAGTCACCACGCTCAGCTGAAGCCCCATGTTGTGCTGTGGGGTCACGACCCACAGATTGCTAGTGGCCGTGATGTCAAATTCCAGCCAGCCTTCTTCTGAGGCCCACACTACGCGGGTGTCCAGCAAAAAGAGGTCAGAGTCTCTGAAAGAAAGGAGAGGTGGTGCAGTGAATGGCCGGCTGTCCCCTCAGCTCACTCTCACTCTGTCCTGCCTGGTGTCACAATAAAAGATGCCAGTGTCAGATCAGGTCCCGCGTAAAGCAGTGTCCAGCGATCTGCAGCTCTGGCAGGCGTGGCACCACAGCGGGCAGGTGCTGACACGCGGAGAGATGACTGTGACAGGGCCCTGCAGAGAAACGGGTTTTCTCTGAAGATGGCAGGGCCCCTCAGCTTCACCCACAGCCTCGCTACGATGCTTACGCAAATCTCTTGAGGAATTAGGATAAATGACAGACAGATAGATAGGGTCATATTGTTCCTTACTTTATGGCTAATGAACTCTAGAAAGAGAGAAAGTGGGGGGGGGCAGTGAGGAAAAGGATTAAGAAAATATTAAAATCGGGATCAATATGAGCTTTCACAAAGTTGTGCTTTGCTCATTTTCTTTTTAACATTAAGATCTGATAATCTTCACGTTGAAATAAAGAGAAACCAGAAGCCACATCATATTTCTGAGTAATCACCAGTTCTTTTCCTTTAATTAAGGTATTTGCATGGTCTATGGTGAGTGTCAAGTCCTCTCTCGCCTGGACTGTGTGATGTGGGTGTATGTTGAGTGATTTTAAAGTTTATCCCAGCGCAGCTGTGAGCCAGGCTGGGGTTCTTTGAGGCAAACTTGTCGAGTCCATTCCTTCCATTGGGCTCCACAGGGAATATTTTTATACTTTTTACAGTTTTCAACTAACATAACCCAGGGGTTGTGGGAAGATGGAGTGAGGGTTTCTTCCTGCTCGCCCACATGTCATGGTAGAGCAGTGCCAGGGGACGGTCCCCTTCGTGTGCTGCAAGGACACTGAGTCTGAGCCCGGAATGGCCGTGACGGGGAGGGGGCGTGTTTTGGTCATGGAAAGATCTAAGTTCCCTGGTGCTGGCAATATTTTGCCGAAATATCTTAGAGCTGTGGTCAGCAAACCACGGCTCGCGAGCCACATGCGGCTCTTTGGCCCCTTGAGTGTGGCTCTTCCACAAAATACCACGTGTGGGCACGCACATACAGTGCAATTGAAACTTCGTGGCCCATGCGCAGAAGTCGGTATTTTGTGGAAGAGCTGGTATTTTGTGGAAGAGCCACATTCAAGGGGCCAAAGAACCGCATGTGGCTCGCGAGCCGCGGTTTTCCGAGCCGCAGTTTGCCAACCACTGTCTTAGAGGATAGAAAATTACTGGAATTAAATACTAAATTTAAGACGAGCATGTCAATACTAATGAAGTACATTTAAATCAGTGATAAAGTGTTTCCATATACTTTACTTTCCTCAGTCGTTAGGACAATCCCGAAAGCTCGGAAGAACATTGCTATCCCCATTTTACAGCCGGGGAAACTGAGATTCAGGTGTGAGGTTAGTGTCATGTGGCCAAGATCAAAAGCTGGTAAGTGAAAGAACTAGCCAGTGAAAAGAATGTGGACTCAGTTTCCCATAATGACATCCTGCCTTCTGAGATTACCCAAGACAACCTGTGACAAGTGAATACAATTTATCGCTATTCTTTTGAGTATCTGTGAGGCCTGTGAAACATCCGAGTTAAGAATTTTAGATTTCTCAGAGGGGAAACTATTTTTCCTGTTTACATGGCTTAGAGTTAGAAGAAAACGCTATTGTCATCTTCTCCAAGCTTAAAACAGTAGGTACAGCTAAAAGTAGTTTACTCAGCTGCTGAACAGAGTCTGTAGGGGGCACATTCAGGCCTGCCATCTTTAAAGCGCTCTCCTACCCGCATGTGTCACACCCCCTGCTGACAAATCACCCCCCCCCCTCTGTTACTGAGGTAACTGTGAGCAGGGAGATGGGGTGTCCATGGAAAACAGCAAGAGGGGATGGCAAGTCCAAAGCTTTGAAGTTCAGATGCAAGAAGACATAAATCCTGCTCTGGAAGGTCTGAGAAGCCCTTATCCAGCAATAACAGGCCTATGGACAGTTCTGTGGGAGGAGCAGCCTGGGCCCCAGGAAGCACAGGACAGATGCTCCTCAGAGCAGCACCCTCGAATGAAGATGCTGTGGGAATTTCGGGCGTGAGGCTGCCCCTGAGGCAAAGAGCATCAGTGCGTGGGCTATTGCCACAGGTCCCTTGTTGCTACTTACAGAGCTTCAATGATACACACAATGTTAAGGTCTTGTAACAAAGACGGAGAAATATACAAGAGCAAGTGGCAGGTGGGACAGAAGGCCAGCTTCCAAAAACAGGTGAGAGAAAGCAGAGAAAAGGAAAAAAGAGAAGGGCATGGGTAAAAGAGGGCGAACATGAATCAAAAGCTAAACGTGGGAAGAGTGTTGCCAAGAAGATAATAATCACGATGTGGAAGAAATTAAATGTTCAGGGAGAATGGGGAGAGTGGACTCAGAGAGCCCAAGTGTCTATCTTGTCTCTGCTCCTAAGAATTCCTGTTTCTGCCGCTCCCCTGGCTGCATAGTAAGGACAAGGCCGTCCTCACTGCGTAAGAGCCCCGTGGGGTTCAGGGGTTCATGAACCTGGTCCAGCAGCTGAGGGCAGGGAGAAAACCCTGCTCACTGGCAGCCAGACAGTTTCAGATTTAGATGATTAAATCCAGGACCCTGAGGTCCTGTGGAAGGGAGGTGAGGTAGAGCATGGACTTAAGATAACTGGACTAAGTGGAGAGAGAAACAACAAATATTTACTGTGCCTTCTATACACACGTATGCGCCAAGAGCCTCTCTATTCCTTGGGAAGCCTGGAGAGGTGGGTCCTGTAGCTGACGGCAGGGAGCCTAGAAAGGGTAAGTGCATTAAGGTCACAGGTATTAGGTGGGCTGAGCAGAACTGAAAGTCAGAGCCGGACTCTTAGCCACCACATTTCTCAAAAGCAGTCAAGAAACATCCAAGGCACAGGTTGAAATGACTGAGCAAAGGCTCATTGTAAGGTAAGGGATCACAATGTACTGCACGTAAATGCCAAAGTCGGGTGGATACAGAAAACACTGGAATGTACTCAGGGCTGTCACAGGATCCTATCAGGGTACGGGAGGAAGCGGGGAAGTGTGTGAGAGGGATCCGAGAGGGATTGCCCAGTCTCGCCCTATCCCTGCTCCTAGGCAGGACACTCTCGATGAGACTGAGCCCACCACTGACACGCAGTCACACAGCCATGGTGAGGAACTTTCAGAATCACAGCTTTAAGAAACAACTGTGCTGGCTCACCCTCAATGCTTCCAATAGCTCAGGTATTTAAGAGCCACGATTTATGGCAAGTCAATGAAATGGTTCTGGTCTGACCCACATCTATTTACTTTTCTTCAGTGACACATGGCTTTCTTAGTCTACCACCTCTGTGAAAGTGTAGCCTCGAGCAAGATGCACCTGAGTTCCCTGTGTGAAAAACAAGGATGCCCCTCTACAGGGTTGAGGTCTGTTATTTCCATCTAAAATATAGTCTCCTCCCAACAGAGTCCTAGGGTCTGGCCAATCTGACCACAGCTGGATTATTTGGACCCTCCCACTGAATGATAGACATTCAATTGAGCATATTATAAAAGAAAATGCTGAAACAAGATAGAGATATAATTTTGAATGAATTTATTGCCTGTTTTGTTCACAACCAACTCATAGACCCATGTTTCATGATGAATATGCATTCCATATTCAAGGATACAACAGTATTATTCTCAATGTGATCCCAACTCAAGGACATGAGTTTCCTCATATTGTGATCATCCTGGACAAATGAAACTCTCAACAATGGACCACACATGACTGATCTCATCCAAGCCACTCATTAGACTTTTAGAATTAGTGTTTGTGGATGAGATCAACCATGTGTGGTCCATCCCGTCGCACAGCCTCCAAGGTACCTATCCTTGTCAGTGATATTCCATCTGGCCGTGGAGCAGGCGGCACTAGGGGCAAACACAGTGGGTTTCTCTCTTTGCCCTTGGAGAAGGTCAGGGGGCATCTCAGTTCCTGATTTTGACTTTTCCTGACAAATGCTATCCATCAAAGTCACACTGCCCTGGATAAAGTGCAACTGTGTTTACTACTAGCCACTTCAGTAGGAAAATGTTCTTCATAAAGGGAATTTATAGGTTTGAAGCAAGCAGATTTTTGAAATATTTGATAAGGTGAGTCTGTAGTTTGTTCCTTTACTTCTTCATAACATATTCCTGTGCCATTTATGGGTCTGGACTTAATGGCAAATTAAGATACAAAACAACATTCATACATTGGTGAATCAACTTTATGCAATAATGAAAATTCAATTTTCAAATTGGATGAAAGTCAAAGGAGTCAATCATTTTAGAAAATTAGTAAAACAAAGATTTGTATTTTTTTCTTATGCATATATCATATGCAGAGGATTATGTTTTAAATTTTACCACTAAAAAGACAGAAAAGAAGTAGGATTTGAAAAGATAACACTACAACTCAGGATAAACTACTACTACTACTACTACTCACACACACACACACAGATTTGAGTAACATAGGTGAATAGACATTATCTATAATAATAAAAGCATAATATGCTAATTAGACTGGACAGCTGAACGACCTTCTGGACGTCCTTCCGGATGAAGCCGGGCTGCGATGAATTTCGTGCATCGGGCCTCTAGTTACTATATAATTAGATAAATTCTCATTGATTTTATGCCACTTGATATTACCCAAATTTCATCTCAAGGATAGCATGGCATGAAGAGAAGGTTCAAATATCAAAGGGACATTTTATCTTCAACAAAACAATAAAAATCACTTTGCTGTCAGAATATTAACATAGCAAGCCTGTACATGGTATTTACTACATTACTGTACTAAGTGCTCTCACATATGTTAACTCCTCACAACCGCCATAAAAGGTAAATCATATTAACACCATCACAGGTTGGCAGATAAGGAAACTGAGGAACAGAGAGGTTAAGTAGTTTTCTCATGGTCACACAACCAGTAAGTATAGAGCTGGGGTTTGAAACCAA